CAGTGTGCGGTCATGTTTTGATTAGATCCCAGTTTGGGTTATGTAAGATCTTAGGTTCGAATTTAAACAAAAGTAGAAACGGAAATGATTAAAGTGAAAGAGCACCGATAAGGGACACTAAGAGAAATTCGTCGGTTCCAGGAAGTGTGTTCTTGCCCGGAGCTCGCGATCCAACCGACAATATAGTTTGAAAATTGCAAGCACAACACAGCACCTTAATTAGATTACCTAATCTATGAACAATGTTATAATTGCTGAAACAAAATTTAGACACTGCAAATTTCACACCTACCGTGAATTTTAGCTCATCCCTACATTTATACCGTGTGTAAACTTGTTTTATTGCGTGAGTATTGACGTCAGTTATGTTCTGTGTTCGCGAGCGGAGTCCATCATAACACAGCCGACTTGCGAAGTGAATAAATGAAACCACAGTGAAAATGTGCGGGGTGGTGGATACTTCTACACTCCGCATATCTTCACCTTAATAGGATTGATTGCGGATAAAACCGCTCCGCTTCAATGCTGTGTCACTCTGATGATAGAGATGACACTTGATCCAAACGCTTTCAATAAACTTCAATAAAGAATATTTGGATTCGTTTTATTTAATCATCAATCAGAAGCTTGCTGGCGCAGTCTCGTTTTGTCTGATCGACAAATAAACGTCGATTGGACGCGACCAAAGTACCGTCCCGATGCTTGATGGTTTAGTTGATTGAATGCAATATTTTTAGTAATGAAATATTAGTCATCACACATTAATAAGACGCAAGGTCATTTTAACCTAGTGAAGACTTTCGTTTCTTACACGCTAGTTAACTGACGTGATAATAATTGTCACTGACTACTTTTTACCATTCTATAATAATTATAATTAGCCTATGGCCCCGTGGATTTTCTGTGAATACAATCCCATAAAGAGAACAGCCTATAACACACCATGCAAGTCAAAGCATTAGTTGGTTAATACTATCTTTCGAAATACATTGAATTAATTTCGTTAATAACATATTCAAATAACTTCATATATAAAATTAAGTTCGACGGCATACACATGTTGTTTAAGTAGGTGAGCTGTAAATAACTTGCACCAAGTTCCTATACTTAAAGTTTCGGTTATTAAGTTCGGCTCGTATATTGAATCATGTATGCCACGCGCTGGGACGTAAGGCGACGGTACCATGAATTTAATATAGTTCTCGATGTGACACGAGTGCTATCACGGCGGGATTAATTAACGAACATGCATGTTAGTCTGTTGTGCCGCTACTGGAGCTTTAAATAGATAAGCCCTTACCATATTTACTAAAAACGGTAGCTAACTCACTATCGAAAGAGTGATCTCACACATCCAGCTTCTGAGAGCAGTAACAGGTACATACCTGTTAGTATGACAATTCGTTTTTGATTATGTTGGCAATTTTTTAATTCTACAAATTGTAAATATTTCATTTCACCAGTTCAAATTTACAAAAAAATCAATACCTTAACACGCACTATGCAACGGAGAGGTTGACAAACAAACAATGATAATCACAACGGCCGCGGCGGCTTAAAAGCAACACATTCAATTAACACAATAGGGCCCTGAATTGCCGTTCATAACGCCTGCAAAGTTAATTAAAATATCCTTAATTACCACGCAGCAACAGCCCCATATTTATATATCAGCACTTCAACTACGTAATCAAAACAAAATTAACATTAAAAATCTATCGATTTAAAAATTCTTTGAATTGTTATCAATTCAAACAATTGTTTAAAATCGATTAGCTTATTCAAAATGAGACTGAAGTAACTTAAAATTTTAAGAATTTAACATACTGAGACTGACTCAAGGGAAGTTCCATGTTGGGCGCCAAATTGTGCCGCAATGTTTGTACTTTATTAGGACTTACTGTTTGTATATAAGTTTGCGACGCTCCTGTTTTATTTGTCGCGATTGTAACACACTGTATGGTTGGCTGCCTGAATACACTTCATATTTACTCCGTGAACAACTGAGCGGCGACTGTAGTAATTCAAAAATAACGGTCATAATCTAGTGTGGTTTATCATTGGTCAAAGTGCGATCTTTAAGTCTCTTCTAACAGAATAGAGGAAAAGTAGCGAAGTAATCGTTTAACTCATCAAGACAACCTGTCAATTAAAAATGCCCATCCATGGCAACAGGTAAACAGAAGCACTTGTTGTAAACGGCAGATAGTTTTAATTGTAATGATTAAAGTGGATGAAATGGTGATGCTGACGATATCATCGACCTAAATATATTCATTTGTAAAGGCTCCCAAGTTGTGTTTCCAAAAAATCTGGCTCAATAAATAACAAACTAACGTGAAGTGTCAACACAGTTCGCAATGTTTACATTGTCGCCGACAAGTTTTACTTTTGCTGACAAATGTTTGGACCGCTTCCGCTAAACTCAGCTTAGTAAAACTAACTTAATTGCATCTCATTTAATTTTAGTCAGTTTTGCGTACACACATATTCTTATTTGATCTATTAAATGAATGCCTAAGTTACTATGCAAATGCATCTCAATTTAATAACTTAAGCTACATTCATAAACTTCATCACAACATCTTTGAATTGCAGTATACTTTAGTGCCAACATTATAACACCAAACTCCCACATTGGGCGGCAAACCATGTTTCAGTATTTGCACTTTATCGGGACAAGTTTCCTGTTTGCACACAAGTTTGGGTTTCCGTTTTATATGCGGCAAACTTGAATAGACGCTCATTAAATTTCCTTTGCTTATATGAAACATGTTTCAGAATAAAGACACGATTCGAATTTCAAATTTCACAAACGTAATTAGATTTAGTTGAACATCAATTTTATTTTTTATATAACAGTCTCATTTTATAATAATCTTGACTGAAGAGAGAAACAGAGAAAAAACAACGCCACGATCTGAATATGGTAATGGGCGCCAACCGGAATCGCAGCGGCTGCAGATAAGGTTTTATAGCGAAAATCTACAATATGGCCAGGCGTGCAAACAGCGGGAACATATGCAAAATGGCGTCGATAAGTGTACAATATATAGTGTCATCGGAAAAATTCGCTCTATAAAGTATTGTAACGTACAAGTAATCGGGCGGACGCCAGAACTTGTTCAGCTACAGTCGCGAATAAATAATTTATTTGCAGATAAATTATTCATTTATGGTAATCTGTAAAACGCCAACGTGATCTGAATTTCGACGTTTTCTTCATTTTAGGAACGACGGCGACGAGGCGACGCGACGCGACGTCGTTCTGACATATTGGTTACGAAGATTTACTTAATTATAAAAATTCTCATGTTGGTTTACTTAACGACAAATCTTATTATGTAAACGCTTAACTCATTTGACTCTAAGAAAAGATATAATCTCGTATTAATTTGGAAATGCTTTTAATATTACATTAAAGCATTTTATTTAATTTATAGTGCATCGGTTATTATTAAACAAACATTTATACTTTTGTTCTAATGAGAAACATTGTTAAAAGGTAAATAATCAACAAACAAAATCATTAATTCTACACTTTTACTATCGTGATTAAGATAACCAAAAAATTATAATAAAGCACACGTTCTCATTTATAAATTTCTAAAACCACAGATACACACGTCTTAAAGACACTACTTACTGTTTTTTATGTTTACAATATCGCATAAAAAAACGCTTAACATTAGTTACAAAATAAGAGAGTTCCGTGGATACTTCTTTATTATCTTTACTTATAATTTTACTATTTCTCGGAGATTCAAATTTAGGAAGCGGATGGGTTTACAGGAGCAAGGAACAAGGTGGACACTTCAGGAAGAAACTGGAAAAAATATAACGACTTTATTGAATAAAACTTAAAATAATCAATTATATTTGTAAACTTAATGAATGTAGACATGGAAAATAAGCATGTAAAAATTACAGGAGCATTTTTTAACAGCTTCCGTTTTGTAAAGGTTTATTCAATCGATTTGATGAAGTTTTCTAAATCGATTTAAATTTTAATTCGTTAATATTTAGTTTCAAACACAAAAGCAGATATTTTTCATTTTATAGTAACCTAATGAGATATTGTAAGTATATTCCTAAGGATCCTTGTGAAATGCATCAATATCATGGCAAATGCGCGTTATTATTATACAAAAGCTATTAACGTTTAAAATACAGTCTGATGCATAACGGCGCGCAATCAATGCAACAACGTCTAGGCGACGAGGTAAGCAAATAGTGGTATGCCGTGAGGACTGGCAATTTGTGTGACGAATTTCAAATATTCAATAATATGGAAACATTGTTTTATGCAGGCCCCGACATAGGAGGTAGGGGGAAGGGGCAGTGGGATAATGGTGAACGTTCCCTGGCAAAAACGTTTTGTTATCTATATCGAGTAACGTGACATACAAAATACATTATATTTTATAATAGTTTAGAAATTAATAACGATAATGTACTCCACCGATCTTCGAAACTACGGGGTCTAAAAAAACAGAAAATTGTTCTCTATTGTTCGTTTCAAGAAATAAATCCCTCGGTAATGTTCGCTTATAATGCAAAGGAATAAGAGTTATGTTAAGAGAAAGGAATAATTGCTAGATTACCTATAAGAAATCTATGGTTTATAGAATTTATACAAAATCCTCAATTCGAAAATCCGATTCGGTCTTGATGTTTTTTTATAATCTTTTAACACCTTTGTCTACCCACACAAATCGTAAAAAATAAGTAGGAATGGCTTTTACACGGATGATAGACTATTAAATTGACTATATTCAAGTTACCTTGTTCTACATTACATCGGTTCAATTCTCATGAGATAAAAGCGAAAGATACGTTTTCTGTGTTCAGTAAAATGTTTGTAATAATTATCTGTTTATACGAGATAACCTCGTTGTCTGCAGAAATTTATTTTATTTATAGCAACAATTTGTATATTGCGTAGTGTAAATAACCTTTTTTGTTTATATAAGATATGTTTTTCTTTAGTTTTATTTTTTGGATTATTAGTTAATCAATAAAGTTGTTAATGATAAAAGATCGTAGTTGAATCTTTAATACAGTTTTAATAGTTACAGCAACCAAGATCTATGTAAACTCATATGAAAGTCAAGACGTGTAATATGATCAAAGCAAGCATTATTTCAGTGCATTTTTATACAGACCCGGTTGCACACAAGGCTGCTACGCCAGGCTGCCACAATATGTCATCTTTTTAAAATTGATTTTAAACTCTACCCACAAAACATTTGGGTTGTGAAAATCAAGTGGATAAATTTGACAGATTTATTACGAATAATTTTGAGCGAGAATATTGATGATGATTGAATTCATATACGTAGGTCATATTGATCAATTCCATTGCCATAACCGGAACACAAATATCAAATATAATGAAATTAACCATTTCGACGAACATCACTTACCGAATTACACTTAACCGACTCGGAAGCTTAACGTAGATAAACTTTACAATCACTAATCTCAGTGTCTCAATACACATATCGGTGCAAAAACGGTTAAAGTAATAATAATTAAGCATTAGAATTTAAGACCAAACTTAAGGATACAAATAACAACGACAGAGTTAAATAAACCTATTTTAAAAAAAATATCGGGTGTATTTTTGAAAAAAAAAAATATTGATATTTAATATTACAGGCTTGTTTTGACAACTTTAAAATCCAGCCAACAGCGAGTCAATCTCGAACATCGAAAGTTCGAAACGACGTGGGTTCGAATCCCATCTCAAAGTACCAGAGACGTAGTGGATTCTTTAAGCATTTTTCATTAAGAATATAAAGTAATAAACTACAAATTTCCGCTTTTGCTTGCGAATTTGCTTAAATACACCCGAAAATTAATTAAATAAAAAAATATAAAACCCAACTATAGCTTAATCACGCTCTAAAAAGTTTGAAACAAGAAATTGTTTTTTTTTTCCTTTTTGCGGTACGGATGTACACAATGCTTGTATACAAAACTGTTTAGTGACAGCGCATCGAGAACATCTGCGAATTCTTACGGCGGATCGCAAGAATTTACGGATTCATTTGCATCGTGCATTCCAGCACAATGTTACATCAACTTGTTGATAGTCAGTCAGAATTCTTGCTGGACGAAATTGTTTCGTGCCAATTGGCAGTCCTTTGTTCAAGCTTATTATTATAGCGTTATTTGAAGCTATACTTCGTTGACTATATGGCACTACATTCCTGGCACTTTATTAATATAATCACAATAAACACTCTGTTACATTAAACCATTTTTTATCACTCCATTATGATGAATGTCACCACTAGGTAAATATTTAAGAACATCCAGTAAACATCAAACAATAATATTAATATTTTCAAAAATGGATGCAGCTGATGAAGGAATTAAAATAATATCTAGTGTAGATTGATGGACCCATACAAAATGAATAATATTCATCATCATCATCATCATCAGCCCTTTTTACGTCCCCACTGCAGGGGCTCAGGCCTTCCTTATGGATGGTTAAGGAGGATGGGCCATGACCCTCCACGCTGGCCCAATGCGGATTGGGGGGTATTAACGACTGCAAATGCAGCCGGGACCAACGGCTTAACGTGTCTTCCGAAGCACGGAGTAGCTTGAGATAATAATTTTTTGGTCACCCATCCCATGACCGACCCTTGCGAAAGTTGCTTAACGACAACGATCGCGGGCCGCGGCGCTTATCCACTACGCCACCGAGCTACTACAAAATGAATAATACTACAGTGAAACTATACATTTTACTTACCATGAACAGTGAGCTCCGAGTCCCGATTCAGCTCATACAGCCTCAGTGCTTCATCCAGTTCCAGTTGCGTAGATATGGTACAAGGATCACCTTCCTCATCAACCCATTTCATGGTAAAAACCTGGAGACAGCAAAATATTTAATTTCAATACCTTTTGGAAATATGTACTTTCATTGTGTATCTGAGGTCAATGCATCTGTATACATATAGTACACTTTAAGTCATAGGGGTATATATGCAAAAATAAGATTTTTTTATGTGTTTTCAAGTAAGAAAACCTTTTTTTTTTAATTACTATAAATATATGAGTGAAACACTTTTTGACAAGAAGACATGTTTATTTGCGTGACACCTAAAAAGGTGACAGGATTTTGAAAAATTCATCACGCAAGGGGATTCATTAGGAGTTGGAAAATCATGTTATGTAAATGTGCTAATTCCAATAATGAGATTCTTATCTAAGTGTAGTTAATAATTGTGAAGATAAAAACATAGCACACTTTACTGTTTATTAAACAACAATGTTATGATGGAGGTATTTCCTTAGAATTTATAAATTCTTCACAATAATAAATAATAATATTAGACAACTGACAAATGTATGTGATACATTGCTCAGTGCTAAATCTGCATTAGATGATTTTAGTGCACCGAACCTAGACCCTTTCCTCAACTGCTGCACACAGGTATGTTTCTGCTTCTTGTTCTTCTTTGTTTCTTTTGTGTATAGAAATAAACTTTTTATCTATCTATCTATCTAAGTAAGCTAAAGCACTTGTGTTCTGTTAAAATAATGAAAATAATACAACACCCATACATATATAGTTAAATTCATTTTCTTTATTTACACAACCCGGAATCCAACATGATAATCAGCCACAGAGGTTGTTTATATAACTGTTAACAATAAAATTATATTCATTATCAAATTAATATACCTGGTCAGGAGCAAAACGGCATATTGCAACCATCTCTTGTGTAAATTCCTCTAGAGTTATATGATGGTTTATGTATGTTATCATCACATCACCACTATACACAGTCTTGACACGAATGTCATTGGCGTGATTGTCCTGATTCACCAACTGAGTCGGCATCATGACAGACTCGCAACTTAGAAATAAACTGTTTGTCAATTGAAAAGGCACTAGAGAATATCAGCAGCAATCTGAAAAGTAGGAAATAGAGACATTACCTTTAATTATTAAATAGCAAACAAAAATTTCATTCAACATTGTAAATAAATTGTAAAAATCATAGGATTCATATTAGAGATGTGAAGAATTGGAGTATTTTTAATTTCTTGGCTACACAACACAGTATATAAATGAAAGAAAAAACTTCTTATATAAGATTAATTTCCAAGTAATTCTTATAAGATAAAACAATTAACCTTTAAATCAACATTTATTTTTAAACCTGTTTATGTGGCAAGAGAATGAAATGGTAAATTAAACAATTCAGCCATATATTCAGTTATGTACAAACTACTTTCAGCACATGTCTAATTTAAATAATAATATATTTATTTGGCAACCACACAATGTACCGAATGAAGATGAAAGAACAGACACTACTATGCAACATACATAAATGATAAATAAATACATAGGTAGTTCAATGTAATAATAAAGTATGAAACTTCTTTCTAGATTCAATTATCATATTACAAAACTCATGAGTATGGAGATAGACATAAATTGCCAATACTTTCAGAAGCATAGTAATATAAATACCAGCTTCTTAAATCTTACTTTGCTATAAACTCAATTATTTGATCTAAAGCATAAACATTCTTATAGATGAATGTAGATTTTTAAATAACTAAATGCTCTAACTGAAAACATAATAAAGACACTTGATGCTAGTTTATGTATTATGGACTTACTATGGTTTCTTCAAGTCATAACTTTATTATAACCTATTCAGGAAATTTTTACAAAATATATTTGTGCAATTGCATCTACTGATCTGTTACTGTATTTGTAAGTAATTCACTTCCTGTTTTAGGTGATACAATGGGTCTTATAACTCAATAATCCTAAAGACATTCCCATAACGTGAATCATAGTAATGTATCAAAGGCATAAAATACATACCGTGGTATGTAACTTGTTGATATCTAAACCACTTTAAAGATTGCAGTCTTATTGATAAAATTTTAATAGTAAATATTAATATACTCCAGTTTTATTATAATAGTAATAGGTAACAACAAAAGTTTAGCAAAACATCACTCCAACAACCTGTCACCACAGACCAACAACAATAGAAAAGTTTAAAGATATAAAGTTCACTTTATTGTGTCAATCTAGAAACAAGTGTCATAATAATAATTACAATCCACAATATCTTTGTTTTCTATATACATTCTATTTGTATTATCTTTAACAATTTAATCAGATAGACGCTTTTTTAGTCACTCAGAGCTTTTTTAGTTTATTTAAATTCAAAACTGACATATTTTATTATTGTTTCTTTACGTGAAAGGACCACAAACATGACATTAGTGGAGTTGTGTAAACGCAAATAGGCCATGAATTAAAAAAGAAGAAGAAGAAGAAGATCGAAACAAAACAAAAAAATTGGGCATCCAACCAATCCATCGGTTTGGAAGATAGTTACCACTTGTTTCCGATCTCTATCAATGATAATGATATAATCTGCAGCTATTAAATGTAACAAGACATAAATGTATGTATGTAATAATTTATCAAATGCATCAGAAGAAGTAGTTTATTTTCTTAAGTTATATTTTTTTAATATTTAGGAAAAGTTTTTCTTTATCATAAGTACTGGTAAACAGATAAGGCATCTTCTCCAGAATGAAGGAAGTCCCTTTGGAAATATTGTGATGCATCGATTAAAATCCGGACGCATATATATAAGGAATTTTTATCTCTTCATGGTAATCCAAATCCTGGACGTTGGAGGGTAAGTTGAAGTTGGTTTACAACAGCCTGACGGTTGTCCACCAGTTAGGTGTACAAGTTCTGGTTGACAGCCATGGAGATAGCCTACTAACTTTTTAACAGCACAGACCAAGATTGTGTATCTTTTGGAGACAGCTTTGATACTGTACTTCATACACAAAACCCTCTGTAACTCTGGTAACTACCGAGGATAACCGAAATAAATTGTTCACAGTGTTCTGTGGGCAACCGCTTATCGCGCAATTTTGGTATTCGGAACTCATTTTTAATAAACTACTTATCCCTAGCTAGCTACTATACAGTATATATATTTTTTATCATTAAAATGAAATCAATCATTCAAGTTCACTTTCATGGTAAATCATGTTTACGGATTATAAAATTGTATTTTACAGTTTTTTGATGACAGTTTATTGATACAAGATCAAGTTTTCAAATGAAGTTCAGTTTAGATCGCCTAAATTGACATTGATGGAAAATACGAATTAGTGATAACGACACATTGGAGTTGTTCACTTTTTACGGTGATCATGACTTTAGGTTATATGTTGAGCAAAGAGTACATTTAGTTAGTGAATAGGCTTCAGGTCAACACAGACTGTTGATAAACGTTAACGTATTGTCATTGTCAGTTTGTTTTTGCTCTGCTTTATTTGTCATATTTGTCAAATCGGGAATCTTTACGAATTTACAGAATTTTATTTGTATTTTTTTTCTTGGAAACATCTTAGTCTCAGTTTGTTTTAAAAGTTTGTAGGTTATTTATAAAACCATAATAAAAATGGTAATATATCTTTCTATTGAGAGCGATAGTGGCCATAATAAATCGTGTTATGATGGGTGACTAATGCTCAGTGTTCTGTAGATTAAAACTTGGTATTCGTATACTTTCAGACCGAACAACAAATGGATTGCGCCTTGGACCTAATGCGGAGACTGCCACCCCAACAAATAGAGAAAAATCTTACAGATTTGATAGACCTTGTTCCTAGTTTGTGTGAAGATTTGCTGTCGTCAGTTGACCAGCCTCTAAAAATTGCTCAGGATCGAAGCAACGGCAAAGATTATCTCCTCTGCGACTACAATCGCGATGGCGACTCTTACAGGTCTCCGTGGTCAAACACATACGACCCTCCCTTAGATGATGGTTCAATGCCATCAGAGAAATTGAGAAAACTTGAAATTGAGGCCAACTATGCCTTTGATCAATACAGGGAAATGTATTTCGAAGGCGGAGTGAGTTCTGTATATTTATGGGACATGGATCATGGCTTTGCAGGTTTGCTATCAAATTATGTCACAATTTACTGTGGTAGTATCTGTTAGAGTAAGGAGTTTTTACTTGTCCATAAAATACTTTTTATAGAACAATTTAACTCTTCTGATCTATTTTTTAACACAATGTTTTTTGTGATTAGCTGTCCATGCTTATTGTTTTTTTTTTTTACTTCACTTCTATTTTGGTGTTCTTGCAAAATATAAATAAAATTTGTAAAATCTTTATTTAATCGTGTTTGCATATGCATAGTATCCACTTTAAATCTAATTGAAACATTGGTGGACCAGAATTGGAGTTCAGCAATAGTATCACATAAAATACATATTTCAATATTGCTGCAAATGAATATCATTTTTAAAAGTAAAATGAAATATATTTATTTCTTTAAAATTTAGAAGTAATTTAAGCCTGGTTCAGCATAATGCAGATGTTGTAGGAGAATATTTGTGAGGAACAGTAAAATGTATGTTTTCTATACAGTCCATTCAATGCGATGCAGATTTGAAGCAGAGCAGAGCTTTACAAATTTACCTGCAATAGACGCATCTACTAATCTATCAATATTATTGTTAATAATGAAGCAATATTCTACACCAAATGTACATGTTGTAATTTGGATTCAATATACGACTGCAATTTTCTGCCATCAGAATACAGCACAAACAATAGATATATTTTTAGGAACATTATACAAACGGTAATGACTTCAAAAATTACACCTAGCATTCAAATAACATAACAACATCTCCTTTGATTTTGAGAACAATTTTTTAAACATTTCATCACCATAAAAATATAATAATTAGTTTAATTTATAATTAAATATATATACAAATAATTTTCAAGCCACTTTTACTGCAACTTAACACTATTTATTTGATTATTTAATCAATTTTTCATTCACAATGCTATATTGACCTGAATCTTTAAAAAAACTCCATCCCATCCAATCTCAGGTATTTGGGACTAGTAAATTTCTACAAGACTTTCAACAATTTCAAAAATCTCTAAACATAATCATAGGTAGACATACTAATATAGTTTTTTATACGAGGGTCAAACTGAAAGTTCTTAGAAAATCAAAAACTGATTACATTAGCCAGTTATTAGTTTTATTATATCTTTTCAAAATATTGTCCATTCACGTCAATACACCGCTGCATGCGATGGAACCACTGGGAAAAGCACTTTGCCCACTCGTCCTTAGGGGTCTCTTCAATGGCATCGCAATACGCAGCCACCGCTTCTTCAGCATTCATAAACCGCTTTCCTTTAAGTTTTTCTTTAACTTTTGGAAATAAATAAAAATCACAAGGCGCGAGGTCGGGGCTATACGGCGGGTGACCCAGTAATTCAACGTTTGATGTCGCCAAATAGTCGATCGTTCGCTTGGCGGTGTGCGACGAGGCGTTGTCGTGATGAAGGAGGATCCTACTGCGAGGTCGTTTCTCTCGAACTTTTTCCAAGACAAGTGGCAAACAATTGGTAGTGTACCATTCTGCAGAAACTGTTTTTTGATCCTCTAACACAATTGTTGCAAAATGACCTATCCTTCCAAAGAACGAGGCCACCATTTTTTTTCCCGCACTTCGATCTCTCTTCACTTTAGTTGGCAACTCCTCGAAAGGAAACACCCACTGAGCAGATTGTCTTTTGGTTTTAGGATCATAACAGTAAATCCAGCTTTCGTCACCTGTTAGTATGTCGAACACAGCATTTGAGTCACCTCCGTTAAATCTTTCAATCATTTTACGACACCAATCCACACGATGGAGTTTTTGAGCCTCAGTCAAATTATGAGGTATCCACCGGGCGCAAAGCTTCCTGACCGCTAAATGTTCGTGGAGAATTTTGTGCACTTGACTCATACCGATGCCTAAGCTTGTCCGAATCTGTTGATAGGTCACTCTTTTGTCAGTCTCTATCATACGCCGCACAACACAGATGTTATCTTCAGTCGTCGCCGTAGAAGGCCGTCCCTCACGTAAATCATCAGTGAGATTAGTGCGACCACGTTTAAACTCATTAAACCAGTTGTAAACAGTCGCACGAGATGGGGCTTCATCGTGAAAGGCCAATCGTAGTCTATCATAACTTTCTTGTCGACTTAAATGACATCGAAAGTCATAAAAAATCATTGCACGAAAATTTTCTCGTGTTAAATTCATGATGACGTGTCACAGACAATTTTCAATTTGCCGTCAAATCGTAAAACAAATGACAAATGAATGAAATATATACTCAGTAATATTGGCAAAGAGTTATATTTTCAAATTTTAGAATTATTTTTTTATTATATTGTTTATAAGTGGCCAGTTCTAAGAACTTTCAGTTTGACCCTCGTATATGCTCGTAAATAAAAATGTTACGGGTGGATACATTTTCTCAGATTATTTATTACAGCCACATGATATGACTTACTGTATTAGGCTGGTACTTTACAGTATGTGCTAATGCAACCAAATTTTATGGACCGAGTGTTATTTAAAGTTTGTGATCTAGTAAAAACTTAGCAAAATGTGAGCTGGTTTCTCTTTCTGTTTTATTTCATACCAATTAATAATCAATTATTATTATTTTTTATTATTATTTATTTCTAAGAAATTGTGGCTGAAAATCACTTGACAGATTGGATATGCTATAAAAATAAATAAAAATGCCATATTGTATATTTATTTATGTAATTTAATGGTTAAAAAATAGGTAACTGAATTAACAAAAAATTGAGTAACTAAATACATAGTTGCATAAAATAAATTGTGCATATTTCAATATCAACTAATGAACATTCTATTGTAGGTGTAATTTTGATCAAGAAAGCAGGTGATGGATCTCAGAAGATCAAAGGATGTTGGGACTCAATTCATGTTGTGGAAGTAGTAGAAAAGAGCTCTGGACGGAATGCCCATTACAAGTTGACCTCAACGGCGATGCTATGGTTACAGACTAACAAGGAAGGAAGTGGTACTATGAATTTAGGAGGAAGTCTTACACGTCAGGTTAGTATCATTGGCAGTATTAAGTCCTTTGTCCTTAAGTATTAAGGCAAAGGAAAGTATAATCAATTTTCCACTAAATAATTTCAAAATTTTGCATTTGATTTTATTTTTCATATTTAGTAAATGGTTTCTTACATATTTCTTCAGAGTTGGTGCATATCTGAAAAAGCGTTGCATATCATCAGTTGTTGCATACTCCCATAGATACAATTTTTCATCAGATGTGTTAGCGACGCTAGTATTGAAATGTTTTTTTTTTAAATAATAGCTTAGAGATTGATAGCACGAGTATATATATATATATATCGTCATGAACCTGTTCTTACACATTTGAATATACCCATTTGCCTCATGTACCTAACATTTTATAAATTATATCATCTATTAACACTTGGCACGTGGCTATAATGCCAGAATATAAAGAGTAAGTGCTCATCATACATACGCACCGAAAATGGTTTGTATGTGAGCGCGTTATAATTTTGTAAGTGTGTGCGTGCGACGACGCATACGCACGGGCGCGCTCACATACAAACCATTATCGGTGCGTATGTATGAAGTCTGGAGTGCTTATATAGTCTGGAGTGATTATATATTTGTACTGTGATAATGCATTCATCTCAGTTGAAAACATTAATTATTACACACATTTTTTTTATACATACCTTTTTCTTTGTCATCTTCCTATATTATTATCCTATAGTTCAACTAATTTTGATGACTTTTTTTATTTGAAAGCTAGTGCTTGTTGTGTAGTCCCATTTCAATTTGGCCCAGATCTAGCAATGGCATCTATGAGAAAACAATATAAGTCTTAAATTTGCATTCACACAGTTTTGACGCGGTTTTCAGAAAAGTATTTTTAGTGTTACCTATTATATAAAAATATCAATATCACTAAAAAGCATGAAATAAAAAAAAAACTTAAAAAATAAATAGAAGCGACTTCAAATTTAAAAAAAAAGTGTAAAATAATACTTACCTTTAAAGCGACTTTTTCAAGAAAATGTAATTGAAGTCAGGCGCCCATAATTGATTAATAGCCTACAGAAACCCTCCGCCCGACTTTTTTTTTAAGTCTGAAGACGGTTCTATTTTTTTTAGTTTTTTGTGTATCGACTTGCAGATAATAAAATATTTTTATTTTTAATTATTTTTCTTGTCTTATAGGCAGAGCAAGATTCCTCCGTCAGCGATGTGACTCCTCACATCATCAACATTGGCCGCATGGTTGAAGACATGGAGAACAAAATTAGGAATACCCTCAACGATATTTACTTTGGTAAATAGATTACTTTCTTTATATTGCTGATACTAGGTATTTTTCCATTTCCGAAATATTAATTTTTAACAAGTGTCCTTAACTTTAAGCCAGTTGCAGAAACGGTTATTAAAGTTGACAGTAGTTTAAAGCGACATTACCGATACAAATTTGGCATTCATTAGAGCTTAAAGTCATCATTAAATCGTAATGGACATTCGTACAACTGACCGTTTGACTCTAAAAGTATATTTTTGTAATTAATTTAATATTACTCTCTACACTGTTCTCGCACCAACTTATTAGCAAGTGCCCACCGCTCATATGCGCTACAAGCATTTTGGATAAATTTAAATCTAAGGTAGATTTTTTTGTATGTTCTCTAAGTGATCTCACAAAGTTGTTAGGAGTAAAGTGATTAGGAGATAATAGTAAACTTATTAAATCACTCCCGAATTGGGTTAAGCCTATAATATGTGCAAGTTTTAGAAGAAATAACCAAATAAAATAAATATAATATATTTTTATGAATTGAATATTTATACTTGATAGTTTTATAATTTTACCATCATATCTTACCATGCCCCTTATTTGCCGAATAAAGTTAGTGAATACTATTGTTATATGATTTCAATAAAGGTAAGACGAAAGACATAGTGAACGGTCTCCGGTCAGTGGTGCCGGCCGACGTGGCGCGCCGCACGGCCGCGCTGCAGCACGATCTAGCGCTCGCGCTGCAACGCAGGCACGTGGCGCGCGCAGACTGAGCGCACTAGACTACACTGGGGCAATCGTAAGTACTCTAAAACTCGAGTGTCACTTATTTATTTATTTAATCTTTATGCTTATAAATTAGTGAAATGAAATGAAATGAAAATATCTTTATTCAAGTAGGCTATTACAAGCACTTTTGAATCGTCCAAAAAACTTTTTTCCCCTACCACTTGTTCAGGACGTCTTTTAGCTGACAAGAAGAACAAGCGAAAGAAGCTTATCAGCTTTTTATCATAAGTAATGACATTATTTTCATCATAGTAAATAGCGGACTTAATGCCAAAAAGGCATTCTCTACCAGTCAAACCCGTGAAGATGTACAGGGCATTCAAAAGGCGGTATCATTAAAAGAAGAAAAAACTAATTACTTTATTAGAGTGATTTTGATGTTATTCACGTGAATTCTAATAATAATATATGTAAATAAGGTACATGGTAGTATTTTCATGTCTAACAATCATTCTAAAGTCATTAAACCATACAAGTTTAAAGTTAATTATGAGATTGTTGATATCTAATATCTAAATCTGACAAAATTTTTAATCCATAGTTAACATTTTTATCTATAGTGCTCTTTACAACTTACAAATGTATAACAGATGTTAACGACGCGCTTATAATATTTTAATAAGTACTGATAACATGAAATTGTATATTTTTGTACTTTTATTGTTATTAAAAAGTGTAGGTGTACAATATCGCTAGTAACTAAATCTGATTCCTTTTTAAATTGATGTCATAAACTATCATTATATTTACGATTATTATATTATATATAACTAATTTCTATTTGTTTTCAGATGAGGTGGAATCAATGGGTATTCACGAAGATCAAAATATGATAAGCGAAAATCTAGTAAACGAACATTAAAATAGCTTACTTGCGACGCAGTAAGTCTATTCCGAATGTTTGTAGTTATATTATAAGAAATTCTAAAATTAATTTTAGAAATTGTAAATTCTAACAAAGATTTTTAAATTATTTATTCAGTCGTAGGTGTCGCGCACGATGGTGCTTTCTAAGTAACTCCGTAAATTCATACAATATACGTAATTTATAAAAGAGTGTATTATATTTCGCGTAATACTAAATAAAAAAGGAAGATATGCTCATACTGGCTCAAATAAAAAAAAAAACCCTGTTGATCATTTAAAGTAAGTATTCATTCGAGCAAATAATTCTGTGTACAGATTGAGCCAACAAACGGCCGACGAATTATGAGACTATATAGAGTGAGCGCGACATTAATTTACGTGCTACTTGATTTCTCTCCCTCGCACATTCTGTACCAAGTCTAATGGCATTACGAAAACAAATCAAACTATACATTTTAAGAACAATTCTGTTATAGTGTATAAAAAATTTAAAAGCGCACGAAATCATTTTCTAGTAATGTATTTTTTTTTCTTGCGCGGGGGTTTTAATTACTCTGTATTATTCTTGAATAAATCGACACCCTGAAACATACTTCTTTTAAACGAAAATTAGGTATTTTCGTTTAAAAGACTTTAATGCAGTCTTTTGTTTTTTTTTAACATAAGCGTAAAAATAGTTTGTTATTCATACAAAAATGTTCTTATCTTGAAAATAATAATACATACTAATTTATCACACAATTACAGTATACGTAATGAATTTTAATACGGAATTGTTGCATACGAACAATAATTTTAATTTGTTTTTCGCCCTAGACGCCCATCTCATTGACGTGCGATTGCATTTTATTTTTGCTTATTAGTGTTTTATATTATTGTAAATTACTTACATATAGTTAAGTAGGCTTTTATCCCAAAGGGATTGTTTCTGGCATTAGATAAAATAAGTTTACATATAAACGAAGCGAGGCCAAATCTGGCAAATGTTTGGACTAATAGAAAATATCTATATGTATTCAACAAATAAGAATTAAGGTCCTTGTATTTTTCAATTATGCCTTGAATTTAAGAGATCCAATATTAATATATTAAATAATTAATTGTAACGATTTAATGTTGCAATCAATTTCATAAAAACGATTATTTTCAAATTGGCCTCTCTAAATAAATATATATATCTGTATTATGTAGTTTCTATTATTTTTAAACTCCAATCGTCTTATTATTTAAACAAGGAATAACTTTGGTACCTAATTAACCATTATCCGACCAAAATAAGAACACATCGTACGTTGAGACCGATAGTGACAAAATGCAAAAATTGCGATTTTGAGTAATGAGCGTTTAAAGTTCCAGAAATTGTAATCAGCCCCTCTAAACAACGTATCGTCACTACGCCACCTAGCAGTTTCTACGCGAGCTACGTTCACAGGGATCTTTGCATTTTAAAGTTTATACTAAAAAATTGACATTTCCTATATTTTTACGCATTAATTTCACATCCAAGTTCCCCGATAACTGGTTCAGTTGTTTTGGAGTTCCAAATAACATACATTTAGTTTTCGTAGAATTGAATAGCAAACAGTTATCCACCGACCAAACAGCAATACGTTGTAGGCCTTCGTTTAGATGCTACATATTGACTGAGTTTGAACGAAATATATAATTAAGTATCATCACATATAGATTTTTTATGTTCGCACAATACAAATTATCCAAAACAGGGCCCAATATAGATCCCGGTGGAACTTCATGCTTTAACGGCAGAAGGCTTTATTTGAAATTAGTACCATTATCCAGAAACAAGCTTTCAACTGCTTATGATAAATCAAATAATAGCTATGAATACTGCCGAGTAAATTAAGCAGTACTGAAAGCAGTAGGTAGAACTGCCTCCATAATTAATACAGTTAAAAAAATCAGAATGGACAAGCTAACAATATCTATAACTGACGTATGAAAACATGTTTAAAGCTGTTTCAACATACACAAATTGTAAAATATAAACGCTTCACATACTTTACTTAATACTGATTCTTCGTATGAACGAAGATATTATTAAAGACGATAAAATAATGCGATAATTTGCCGGTAACAAAAAGAGTTATGTTTATGGATGTGGAGGGGGATGTAAGGGGAGGAAGGGTGAACAAAATATGGATAGACTATGTGAATATGACACATTATACTTTGGGAGGTGTGAATTATAATAAGTTTAGAAGAAGAATAAAAGATACCTGTTCGCTGATCCTAAAAAAATAAATGCGACAAGACTAAGCTAATAATAATTATTATTAAAACTCACATTACACTCTTACTAACTTATTTATACTAAAATAATGCACATGATTATAGATAATGCTATTTATATAATGATGACAATCATTTTGCCAACCTTAAACAATCTTAATGAGGAAGTATTTAAGAAAAAAAAGCACCTCCACTTGATGGCGACTCTAGCAAAAGTAGATTTTTGCAGGAAACGATTGGCCCAGATATAGTAATTTACGTTCCTTTTAACTAACATAGTTAAAAGTTTATTAAGTATTGAAAACTAATTTACTTTCAAAATGAGAAATCAAGAAAGTACTGTAGGACATCTAGTTTGATTTCGGGAACTAATTTTTTTTTATACTTCGTCATTTGATTCATGATTATTTTAGATTTTTAGATTTTCAAATGTGACGTCACGAAATTAAGATCCTTAACCCTTCTCATCAATATAATTTAATGAAAATTAACATCGAAAATGCAATCATTAAACATATTTAAAAAAATTTGCTTGTTCTTATTAATGAAGAGATATATGGTATTCACATTTGGATTTTTTTTTACATTTTATCTTTTAACCACGGAACCGTTTTAGACGTAATGTATACCTATGTAAAAGTTTAAAATTTAAATCCCTTTGCCATAAATCAATCAACTTTTGTCATTATCATATTCGACCCAAGGTTTGGCTGTATGGCTTAGTTCTTTCGCCTGTTTAGTCATATATTCATATATTTGACATTAAATCTTATCCACTCGTCTGTGGTGCCACCGCAACGCGAGCATCGTCATCTACCCCGTTATCTGTGGCATGACCGCAGCGCGGTGGTTGACATTCGGTCTCCTTAAATCGGCCGAGTCAGCGCTCTAAAATACCTTTGTCCCTGTTTCTCCTACGTAATAAAGAGTAAGATAACAAAGACGGAATATTAACAAACAAAATTTAACATCTAATACAATTCTTTATGATAGTGAGCTGTTACTTTATGGTACATTCTCCGCTCACTGTAGTCATTGTTTAAAGCAATAAAGTTTGTGTTTAGTGTCTCCGCTTGGAATTATTCGAGGAAAATGTAAGTATTGTTTATTATTCTTTCATTTTAAATAAATATTAGCATGTATTTAATCCATTTTTCTTGTTTTATCCGTCGTTGAAGTGTGGACTCCACTGCTTGCCACTAGGGTCTCGAATTTTGTCTTTAAGGTTTTTAGGTTACATAAATAGGAAGCACTTTAGAATCGGTGACTACGCCTACGTACGCAGAAGGGAGGGGGGAGGGGAGGGGGAGGGGGGTAACTCCCTCCCCATCACTCGCCAAAGCGCGGAGGAGCATAGTTTGGAAAAAAAAAGAAAAAAACAAAATTTGCTGTTACATCATCCAGATAAATTAAAATTTCGAAAATACATTAAGTACCTAAGATAAACTAAATAAAACAGGAGTAAAATAAAAACAAAATATAATATTTTATAAACATATTTAATGACTATAATTAGTTCTTCAAAAGCATCTAAATGGTTTTTTTTTTAATTTCTAAACGCCATAAATATTCAATTCACCAATCTTCAAAATTTTCTTTATAGTTTGTTTTGTGGAATCTTAATTAAAGATAACATATATCAATCATTTTTATTGGCCATGTTCTGTCTGTGGTCTGAAAAAAAAAATAACCTCGAAATTAAAGACGATCGCTACGCTGCGCTTCGCGATCGTCTTAAATTTCTAACCTATCACGTGACCTACAGATATAAAACAATATTTGACTTTGTCCACTGAATTGGATTTAAGCGGCTCCGGCTTATAAAAACACTCTAAGAGTAGGGCAGACTAGTACTATGTGAGATTTGAAGTTGACTAATTCGGTTCTATATTAGCATTGTTATATATAAAACACCTTAAACATACCTATTATACTCTCCATATTCCACATTTTCAATAATTCCTCAGTGAAGAGGTACAATCGTTGTGGTGTACGACCTGCCCCTGATGATGAAGCCTGCGATTCAGTAGGTTCCTCCACCGACACTGATATCGCTAATCCACTTCCAAAAGGAGTCAGTGGCTCATTAGAGTCCAACACCGACGTCACTTCACCATTCTCTTAAGGAGTCGGCGGCTCATTAGAGTCCAACACCGGCATCACTTCACCATGACACAAAGGAACTGGCGGTTTCATAGAGTCCAACACCGTTATCACTTTACCATATTCACTATCACCTCAATCAGTCGAATGCATGAAGAAATAGCAATGGCATTCACAGAAGACTCGAGCGAAACACAGAAATACCGGCGCAACGCGAATTAAAGCTTTGAATAAACAAACGGCGGTTGACTGCTTGTTTAGTATAATCGTGTTTCATTTCACAGAACATTCTTCGTCGTCAAATACTCAGTATGCATTTTAAGATGCATAAACGATGTGCGAATTTAAAATATCATAAAAAGATGCAATTTTCCGATAAACTGTTCAAATTTTAATTGGTTGTTACTTCATATTTTCTTTTTGTCACAAAAAACATAAAAAAATATCACGATACCATCAGCTGTATGCACATGAATCCCTTTGCTTTTCAATCGTGTCAATTTTTAAAACAAAAACATTTGTCAAACATAATAAAAACCTCGTTCAAAACAATATTTCAGACGTATTTTCAAAAAATTATATCTCGAAAACTATCTCACTCCGCACTTTGATATTTTGGAAATTTATACCTCTTTAGTGTCTGTGTGTATAAAAAAAATATCAACACAATCTGCGTAGTCGCCGATACTAAAGCTGAGCCAAGCTTATATATGTTTAAATTGAGCTGCAAATCATTAAAAACAAAGCTGGGAATGCTACGCCCGCGTTGCGAGCACGCCACAGACAGAGCGTCACCGCAGCGCGGTGCCGCCACAGACCCAGTTCGCATTTAAGATGGCGGCAGTCGACGATGGTGGGATAGTATAGATAAGACGTTTGCTTTGTAATCTTGC